GGGGTGAAAAATCACTCCCAAACGGGGCCTTAAAACATTTTCTCAAAAATTGCAGCCCAGGCCCCTGAAGTTTCGAAAGTTGAGCAAAAGGATCCCCAAACCCATTTTTTAATTAAAACTAATGCCTAGGCATTGTATCTCTATCCAAAGATAAGAAAAATGATTCCAATTTCGCAGCCAATTCCTTTTAGAGAATTGCACGTCAAGTCCCCCAACTTTGATCTTCTACAATTTGGTTCTCAAATTTTGACTTTTGTATCAATTCCCCCCCCCCCAAAAAATTATAGTCTAGATCCTCCAACTTTCTGCACTTGTTCATTTTGGATCTCAACTTCACAATTTTGTATGATTTTGGTCCCTTTTGCCTTGTTCTCTTTCCTTTTGGGGTTTATAACAAACAAAAACAATAATTACATAATTGTGAGTATAAATTCGCTTATTTAATCAATATTTAAACTTATTTAGGTATTGAATAAGTGTGCAAAAATATATAAAATACCCACAAATTGAAGTTCTTGCTCGTCCCAAGCAAGATTATATACAACACAATCAAGCAAGTGTGATAATGATCAACACAATAAATAGCTTGTAAAAAATATTAAAGAGTGTAAAATTGTATAATCAATTCAGAAATATACTCCAAATAATGATAACGAAAATATTTTAAGCTTATTCAATGTTGGTATGTGTGTGCATAGTCATTTTCAATTATCATCTAAATTAGGAAAAAGTTATCAAGACGAAAATTTTTTAAATTGGCTCCAACTTGACCCTTCGTGATCAGATATTTCCTTTCCCCACTCGTGAGATTTGCACTCCTCAAATAGATAATCATTTTCTTTCCCCAAGTGTAAATTTAAAGGTTGCTTTCAATTCACTCATTTCTTTTCCCTGCACTTGTTCGATTGAGCCTAATCGACAATATCAATCTCTAGTCATGTGATGATTCTCCACTAGATGAGTGTTTTGACATTCAAGCTTATACTAAGTAATTTAAACTCACTTGTTATCTAAGCCCAATCATCAAATACAATTGCAAAAATAGTGATTTTTTTTTTCAATTAAATCTAATGTTTTATCCCACTCGCTTAAACTTTCTTTTTTACTTTTGTAGTGAGTTTTAGATCGATAACTCCCCGGATGTTTAGACCAATGGGTATCGGATTTCAAGATATCCCTATGGGCTTAATTCGAGTAAAAAAAATTACGAAGTGAGGCCTAAGATTCAATAAGTGTAATATCATTATTTCAAGAATAACAAAACAAAATGAGGCTTAGATTCCTAGCATATGGTCATTACCTAGTCATTTTCAATTATCATCTAAATTAGGAAAAAGTTATCAGGACGAAAAAAATTTATATTGTCTCCAACCCGACCCTTTGTGATCAGATATTTCCTTTCCTCACTCGTGAGATTTACACTCCTCAAATAGATAATCATTTTCTTTCCTAAAGTGTAAATTTAAAGATTGCTTTCAATTCACTCATTTCTTTTCCTGCACTTGTTCGGTTGAGCCTAATCGACAATATCAATCTCTAGTCATGTGATGATTCTTCACTAGATGAGTGTTTTGACATTCAAGCTTATACTAAGTAATTTAAACTCACTTGTTATCTAAGCCCAATCATCAAATACAATTGCAAAAATAGTGAATTTTTTTTTTCAATTAAATCTAATGTTTTATCCCACTCGCTTAAACTTTCTATTTTACTTTTGTAGTGAGCTTTAAGTCGATAACTCCCCGGATGTTTAGACCAATGAGTATCTGATTTCAAGATATCCCTATGGGCTTAATAACTCGAGTAAAAAAATTACGAAGTGAGGCCTAAGATTCAATAAGTGCAATATCATTATTTCAAGAATAACAAAACAAAATGAGGCTTAGATTCCTAGCATATCGTCATTACCTAACTTATACTTCACAAAAAACACTCCACACAAATATTTTTTAACATGCATGGAATCAACACACTTCTAAATAATATCTTTAACCGGCTTGACCACCCCCAAACTAATCTCAAAATATGATTAAGTGAAAGAGAAGTGGATATAGGTTGATATAAAATTTCAAGTAATTCACAACATAATTCTACCAATTCAAAACTTTCTCCACAATCAAAATTTTTAACATCTAGATAACAATTAACCAGACTATTGAGCTCAAATAATTCAAAATCTTACAATTGATAAGCAATTTTTGAAAAATAAAATAAAATTAGCCACAGATAGTATATTTGGTCATATATCATGAATCAACAACAATTTTAAATATCAAACAATCCTAAACTGGCAAAACTATCTAACATGTCAACATAAAAATCACCAATTTAAGCACAATCATCCCCAAGGAACAAGATAAAAGAGAAGAGAGAGGTTAATGAGACTTCCTCGATTAAACATTTGTGAAGAGGTACCAATACTTGAATTGAACTTGCGATGCTTTCGATGAACTTCGGTAGGTGACCTTCTTATACATAATTTACCTCTAAACTTGTGAAGAACCTTGGGTATATGGGATTTCAAAATTTTTCTACAAAAACAATGATAACTAATCAAATAAAAATAAGAAAATGAATAAAATTTAATATAAAGATTAAAAGTTAAAAACTTGGGTTGCCTCCCAGTAAGTTCTTTTTTATAGTCTTTAGCTTGATTTTGGCAATTGAATGTTGGGCACCTAAATAATGTTTTGGATGTGTTGCTCATTTTTCTTCTTTTGGTTTTGTTCCACTCTTCATTTGATCTCCAAAATTCAATATTGCCCATTTTTATATCATAGGACTTGCATTTTTCCATTCAACTCAAATTCAACTATGAAGATCTCTATATTCTCATCGGGCTTAATCACAAAATCAATTTCTTGCCAATCAACCAAGTCAAAAGAATGTAAGTCGATTTCTCCTCATTGATTGCCACATCTTGGTTTTGCTCCGTTGTGATTGGCTTTTCATTCTTCTCAAGCTCTTTTTCAATGGTTGATATTTCATCGAATTGAACGATCGGTTCACCATCAAACTCCATGGGCAATGGCAAGTTTTTTCTATTAATCCCGTTAAGTGGATTATACCTCCACTTTTGAAATCCGTCCCAATATTTGTAATCTCCTACAAACATGTCTTCTTCATCCAACTTGGCAAGTTTATTGTAATACTTTGCAAGTATTTTCACATTAAAAAATGGAGGACCATCTCTCGAAAATTTGATGTCATCGGCCCAATTGTCAGATGCATAATCTCCTGTGAGCATGAAACTATCATCAAATTTGTCCAGTACTTGTTTTCGATATTTCAAATATTATCTAGACCAAAAAAGTTTCGACATTGAGGCATTAATGCACAAATACAAGCATTGTCCTGTACAATGCATCACTCAATAAATTTCACATCTTGGACCACCAAGCATATATCCATAGTCAATATAGAGATTAGACATTGCAAGACTTTTTTACTTTACTAAGATCGAAATAATACAAATATAGTTGAGGAGTACAAGGAGAGAATACCAACACATGATAGATTAAAAAAATATGGGGGTTAGCCAAAGTATACAAAAATAAAAGCAATTAAAAATAAATTGTTAAAATTAAAATTAACTAAAGTGGTAATCAAAGTAAAAAAATTCTCCGATAACGACACTAAAAACTTGAACACGATGCGTGCACTTATGGTTTGCACTTTTAGCAACCAACTTGAAGTAGAAAATTCTTTACCTTGAGATCCTTTAGCTTATGTTCCTTCAATTTCTTCTATTGACTTTTAGTCAATACCTTTCCACAGGCTAGTTCCTATTTCCACGATAGTATAATAGTCTTTGGCTTGCAGAATATTCGCCACCAACATGCTCTAATGATCATTGTGACCATCAAAGCGACTGCTTTTCTTTTTCTTTTTCTTTTTTTAAATCCCTCTGTCGCTCATACGAAATGTAAGAAGAGTTTTACAATAATAAGGGAAGAAAAGAATTTCTCTGAATTAAATTACATTTTATCGATGAGATCAATGACTTAAATAGAAAGTAATTGAAACAAACTTGTAAAAAATAAGCAACAACTAACCAATGACTGACTTACGACTAACGACTCTTAGACTCATGAGCTTTCCTAAAGAATCGGTGAAACACTTCAAACTTCCTATAGAAGAGGACTCGTGGACTCCCCTAAAATTTGTTCTGACCATAAAATATGGTTGATCAAGTTGCCAACAAATAACATTTACCTCCAAACCACCTAAGCATCGCGTGCATACTGGAATAAACTATTCAAGTACAAATTTCACTGTTCCAAAAAAAGATGTTTGGCGACTGTTTGCACTCCAAAAGTCAAGTTAATTGTCGGAACATGAAAGTGAATGAGTGTAAGAGACGTATGTTCAGGGGGATTTGGCTAGGGTTATTTTGTTACTCACCTAGAGTGTCTAATAACTCACATATATAGAAACATATAAAGGCAGCAAAGATGGGCTATTGAATCGATCAATACTCGGTCAACTAACGTGGGGCCCTATCGTACCATGTGCACGCCACGTATTTTATTTGTATGGCAGAAGTAAACAGATTTTCTTATATGTTAATCTTGGTCACAAATTTTGCACACATCGAACACTTTACAGTGTTCAGACAACTATATTTGAACGTCATTGTCCCAAAAACTTTAAGATTTTCAATCATAGTTGGTAGAACGTTCTATTTTATTTACTCATTTAAGAAGGATAGACAGATTTTGATTTGTTCGTTTATATTATATAAATGGACATCATGTGAATTTTCTTAGTTAGTACACCAGACTAAACAAGCTGCATGCAAACAACAAACAAAACTTTCTGAGCCAAATTCATTAGTCCATAAAAATAGGAAGCACTTTTCACATTCTATCCTCCGTTTTAATGTCGGATAGTCGGAAAAAGAAAAAACATACATCCCCATTATGATCATGTAGAAGAATAAGGCTTCTTGAATTAGTGCTGAACTGAGAAAAAATAAATGATGAAATCGTACCAAAATTCTGAGAAATAAACAAGTCTAGATTGTGAAAATCTTACTCCATTATTATTTCACTTGAAAGAGCATAGATTTCTACTATTTTCTTTACAATGAATAGAAACCAATTACAGATGGCTGCATAGGTTCCAATCGATGAGACCGATCAATCATCCGTTTGTTAACTTATCATGGATGTAATGTTTCTCGTCAATAATCAGTAATCAGATCAAGCTGCAGTTACCGGCTTCACTTCTTCAGCATGAGCATACTTAATATTAAAAACACCGGCAAGTCCACGTCCCCTTGCCATCTGGTCTATCTCTTCAAGTTTTTGCTTTAGAAGTTCCACCTCTTTCGCTAACTCTTCATCTCTTTTCCTCATTCCCTGAAAACAAGAGTATTTTGGGACAATCCCACAATGGATCAGGCAAAATACATTAGATATCATTTTTATCAGAATTGCCTGCGGATTCAGTTATCTAGAAATGGTTAAAGTTAAGCATTCATGTGAAAGAAAAGCAAAGGGCAAACAGTTTTTTCTGTCTTAAATCTTCTAGTGGTTTTCAAATTTGTCAACTAGTTGCTATGGTTTAAAAGTAACTACTGTTTTGAGATCCAGGAGTTTATCCTACATGTCAATTTGTTTCACTTCATGGCATCCAAGAAGACGAAAAAAATTAAGTTCTACAAAAATCCCCCTATGTATATAGAGTTCTAATAAATTCAATTTTCTAAAATTGATAAAAACCCTATATTTTGATTTCAACTCTAATTAATTTAAAGTCTTATGCCGGATTTGACAGTTTTCATGACATTGGACATAATTTACCATGAAAATATGGGGAAGAAGTGGAAAATATTGCTCTTTTACTGAGCCCTCATATTCTTGATTTAGAGAATTCATGAGGCCAAATACTAACGTCTTTCGCAGATTATGCGAGTCCAAGTAACAAGACAAGGTTTCGAGAGTAAAGAGGAAGCAAACACACAAGCACTGCATAGTTAACTTAGTGAAAACGTAAAACAACTTAATCGCATACTACCTTCATTTCTTGTTTGCGAAGTTCCTCCTTTTTGGCTTCTGATCGAGAACTTCTTTGCACCTCAAAGACAAGAGCAGCTACTGCAACCTAATCAAATAATTGAAACAAATGCCAAATAGAAACAAATTGAGAACTTCGTTCTATTGAAATTACATTACTCCCAATCTAGTCACGTATAGAGGTGTAAAAATGGACAGGCTCGACCACGCCAGGCATTTTTGGGTGGGGGAAGGGGGGTTTAATTCTATGTAAGAGGGAGAAGACAAGGTTGAGCATTTACCATGGCTTCATTCTACAAAATATCACAAATCCTACAATTATTTTGGGTATTTTATCCATGTTTTAACTTATTTTACTATATATAAGACAATTTCAATTTGCAAGAGGGAAGCAATAATTTATAATCTACACTGCACACAGAGAGGAAGCAATTCCATGACGACGAATTTTAATATAAAAGAATTCTACAGTCATACACAGGACCATTCTATTCCATCAATATGAAGAAGTCCATATTTTTCCCATAGACAAGTTAATTATTTGTTGTAATCAATTACTTTCTTTTCAAAAGAGGAAATTTTCATCTCCAAATATATATCTCACTGAAAAAAATACCTAGTTAATGTACAAAAAAATTGAGTTGGAAAGAAAGATTACCGAGAAGATGAAAAATTCCCCCAAGAGATCCACGGCAGCTTGAACAGCTTTCTCTTCATTCATAGGTCTAATTTTAACGTCAGTTGCATGACTATGTATGCGTCGCTGCATGGTTGTTGTCATCCGGTGATTTGCCTAATTCCAATATCCAGTAAGTACAGAAGATTTCGGAAAAAAATTTAAATAACTCAATTTACATGCCAAATAAGTGAGAGGTGGAGAAAGGTGTACAAGAAAGTATGGAAAACAGCATTAACATTGCTTGTTAAACGAACCAAAACCCGCAGGTGAAGAACAATTTTGCTATTATTGACAATAAACGAGGAGAATACCAAAAACAAAATGTGGCATTCACAATATCAAAAACAAAATACTTAATGAAAAGAGTCAAGCAGCATAAACCACGAACATATACAATGAAATACTACAAGTTGTTCTTGAATTCAGGGCTGATATTGGTGAATTTGTCCAAGAGAATTCAAGTCACCTTAACAGAAACAACTATTACCACTTTTTTCATCTGAAAATATGACAAGAATTTAGGAGAGAAAAGGGAGGAAAATGGTTCAACTAGACCATTCATTTCAAACAGCAGAAGCTTGAATTCTGGACATTCTCTAGTTACCATGGTGAATGGTTCAGCTAGGACCACAATGCCTTGTGCTTCCATCAACTCTTACCACTCGTAAGATGAGTGTAAGGATAAAAAAGTTAGATTGCATTTTATTTGTTGCTGTACATGCTACTTAAGTAGAAGTATACTTTCCACAATCCATACTTCAAAAATCACCTGATTATATGGTTACACATACGCACATGTATGCATTTATGTGTACAGACCGTCCCTCATATTCCTTTTCTCGCTCCCATGTCAGTACAGCGGACACATAGGGGCACAAAAGGGGGATTTTATCAATGTATTCCGAGATTATAATAAACTAGTACGTTTGATCTACTTCAACAAGGAGAAACCAAAGAAACATCTGTAAATATGAGCAATGCTACATGTACAGGAAAATTTATAGGGAGTTTCACTACAATGCGACAGGGTAACATGTCATTGGATTTTAGGCAAAAAAGCATATTTAAAACAACAAATCAGGTGCTGAGAAAACTCCATGTGCAGTTTCCCTCTACAAGTATCATTTCTGCTCTAAATATATATAATAAGGGCAATACTTAAGCCTCCATTCAGCAAATATATAAATGGTTCATAAAATGGAATATTAGGAAAAATATTTGTGAATCCCACGAATACGTTAATAATAAATGAGTAATACTATGAATGTGTGGTTGAAATAACATTGACTTTAACCGAATTTATAAACAATTTATAAATTGGTTGCCAAACAAAGACTATATTATCGATACTATCCCTCATTATATAATTAAAATTCTCAAGTCAATTCACCATAAGAGACAGCCATTACCACCAAATTTGGATATAGAGATTTCAATTGTATCATAACAAATTAACAACTTCATAAATACTAAAAGCCACACTGAACAGTCAAGCATCACGAAATCAAGATGCTGCACAGTTTGAACCATAACATTCAGTGCACATTTAATAGCATTTCTTTTCCTTGAATGATCAATTACCAGTAGAATGAACCAATTAATTTCACAAACACAGTGAACGACGTAATTCATCCAAAGACAGAGCCTTTTTTCACGTATTCATGAACAGATTTATGAAATTAACACACATGACAATGCATAGTACCTGGGCGAAGCTGATGATGAAATTGCGAAACCTGGGAAGGCGCCCAGCTTCTTTCTTGAGCCTAACGGCTATGGGTTTGCTCAAAGTTCTCAATGCTAGCGTCCCAAGCTTCAACAGAGGGAGGACCATTACTTATCACTCTTTTCTTGTTAATTGATCTTCAAATCCAATCAGAGAGAAAAAAAAAATCTAATCTTTATGTATTTATACATGTGTGAGGAATCGCGAATGTTGGTTGAAGAATGGAGTATTGACTGGACTAGAGGAGACGAGTTTCTTGAGAAGGAAGGCAAATACGTGCAGCGCCTAGCATAAGACTGGAAAAACAATTTTGATTCTTCGAAATTTTAATAATGAATAGTCCTAATAAAATATTAGAACGATTGCGTCTCGAGGAGGAAGGCATTTGCTTGGCAAATAAAAGTCGCATAGCGATTTTTCAATATGACATACTATGCCCGTTTAGTAGCAATTTTTCACCCCCAAACAATCAATTTTTTTTATCGTTATTTCACTATTTCAAAAATCAATTTTGACTTCTTCACTCACATTTGAAACTCACTTTTCTCTCTATCAAAAAATCAATTTTCACGGGCCATATATTTTAAATTAATAAAGAAAAGGAAAATGAAAATTTGGAACTACAATCATTTGAATTTCTCAAATATCAACTTTTTGAGAAAGTTTACAAAATTCAAGTCATATTTCATATTAACCCTTGTTTGGGTCTCGTTCTTCTAAAAATTCATTTTTTCAAAACTCATTTTCAATCTCACATTTTTTAATAAAATAATATTGTACGCAAATTCAAATTTTTTTCTTAATTTTTAACCACACATTTTTCATTAATCACTATTTAAAAATGAATTATTTTCCTCAAAATGGGGGCTCAAACAAGGGCTAAGTGGCTGTTTGAGTCCTTTTTGCCCAAAATACATTTTGAGATAGCATTTTATTGGAGAATGTACAATTAAAAATAAGAAAAAATTTTGAATTTGCGTATAATATTATTTTATTGAAATATGTGTGGTTGAAAATAAGAGAGAGAAAAATAAATTTTGAAAATAATAGATACCAAATAAGGGCTAAAAATAATAATAATAATAAATTTATATTTGGTATGTGATCGAAATTGGTGTATATAAAATTGGATAAGTAAATAAATTCGCAATCTCTCTGTACTCACCTATGCAACCATCTATGTACACGAACAAAATTAAGTGTGTATTTGAGCCATATTATTTTGAAATAGTAAATTGATGAAGAATTTATTGTTAAAAAAATGAGATTTTTTTTATTTACATGTAATAATATTTTATTGAAAAATGTGTAGTTGAAATAATATTAAATCACTATTTAAAAATGTTTTTTTTTAAAAGAATGCGACTCAAATAAGGCCTAAATTATGGCCAGATTAAAATTGTTTATTTATATTCTCTAGTTCTAATCCGTATGAAAAAAATTGTTGTTAATGATTTGATGTATGGTGTGACTTCCAATACAAATGCGATGTGATTATTAAAATCACATGATTGATTTCTTTATATTTTGGTATTACCCTAATTATTTATGTTACTTCTCATGTATGAAGTCCTCAATGGAAGTCACTTGGAGGCACTAATTGCGTACATGTGATAGTCAATCAAGTCAAATAAAGAAAAGACAAGAGTTGCCTTCCAGACGAGACACTATTTCCATCAGAGCTCTTCTGTCAAGGTGCTCTCTTTCAAAGGTGAACTGCTTCGCATCCGAAGTTCTTTGTTGTGGCCCAAGTGCTTGTTCTCTTTAAAACGGATTTGATGAGTATCTTTGAAAATGATTGATGTAATGTTTACGTTAAAAAGTGTCGAATATGTCCGCACTAGAGATATAGGGCGATTGACCCATTTTCAATGTATTTGTTAATATAATTAATGTATGATAGTGAGATATGAGACTTCGGTCATTTAAATGGAGCCACGTGGATTTAATCCAACGGTGACCACTTCGACTTGATTACTATAAAGAGCAACTCTTGTAACATTGTAAAGGATTGGAGGAAATATATACAAACTGTATATGCTTATCATCAGTCATTTGATATTAATTTACTTAAGATAGATTATATTTTGTGATATGTTGGAACATATTTTAAAGTTTTAAACTTTCACAATAAATATTAATTTTCATTTGGATTAATTTCACAAACGGTCACTGAACTTACGCGAAAATTACAAAATGTTCACTGAAGTTTAAAACTTTTAGAAACGGTTACTTAAGTTTCGAATGGTTTTACAAATGGTCACTAAAGTTTTTAAAACTTGCACAAATGGTCACTGAAGGTACCAAAATGATTCTAATTCAAACTTTAGGATCAATACACTTGACCATACAAAATTTTGAGGACCTCAGGTACAACCTTCCCATTAGTGGAGCAAAGGTGGTGCATTTTGAGGATTTTGAGTCACCACCTATAGACCACCACAACTCCAACCTCCGACCACTTTGTTGCTGGACCAACATAACACCTTGAATCCCTCACTTCACTCTTTCCAACTCACCCAACTAATGGTCGAAACTCCATCAGATCAGCCTGAAATTTCTGGTCAAAGAAGGTTGCCCATGCAACCAAAAAGGGCCAAATTGTAACAAAGAACTCGGACCATTCAGCCCCAATTTTCGGCATCAACGATGCTACCCACGGTCGCGGACCACCACCCCTATTTTCGCCTCTTCGTAGCGCATCCAATGAACCTATGGGTCACCGCCAATTTCGAACCAAACAAATAAAAAAATAAAGGTCTCCAGCCGTTTTTATTCACAGCAAACTCGAACCATTCAGCCCCAATTTTCGGAGCCGAAGCTACCCACGGTTGCGGACCACCACCTCTAGGACCACCTCTTTATGGTGCATCCAATGAACCTATGGGTCACCCCAATTTCAAACCAACAAAGTTGAATCGAACTAGGCAGTCCTGAGCATTTAACGGAATGAGAAATAATATCTGCCTCCTTCAATTTCTCCTCCTCACATCATTGAATCACAAAATTGGTAACAATCAAGTCTCCAGCAGCATCATACGACCTTGGGTAATAGTTAAATTGAACCAATTGATCCAGAAACCACCCCAATCATCAAATTAAGCCAATTTTTGGAGGGTTTTTAAGGTGGTCGGAAGTTTGCTAATGAGGTCCTCAAAAATTTGTATGGTCACATATTTCGGTCCTTAAGTTTGAATTAGTATCATTTTGGTACCTTCAGTGACCATTTATGCAAGTTTTAAAAACTTCGGTGGCCATTAGTGAAATAGCTCGAAATGAAGGGACCATTTCTGAAAGTTTTAAACTTCAGTGACCGTTTTGTAATTTTTGGATAAGTTCAGTGACCGTTTGTGAAATTAACCCATTTTCATTTTGATTTCAATATTAACTTTTAATACAAAATTAAATCTCATCATTTAGGCTGTAACTTAAGAATAAAAGTTTCAACCTTTCAAATTAAAACCTTTTAATTTCAAGTTTTAACATATAATTAAAATATCATAATACATATTATAATTTATGTTTTAATGATATAAATGTGGGGGGTTGAATTTTCTACTATAAAAAGGGGTGGATTTGAATTTTCTACTATAAAAAGGGATGGATTTCACATTCTTTGACACAAACAAATCAAACACAAAAGATACTATCTAGTATTTAATACTACTCTTTAATCATTTTAGACTATATTTTTATAGTTTGTGACAACTTGATGAAAGACTCCTTCAATTATCTCCATATGGTCGTGTCCATAGAAGGAGAGCCACATGGGTTTTATCTTGAAGTCATGTAGTGCCGAAGGAACCCGCACGAATGAGAGGTGACACGACTTCAGGACAACGTTCTCGAAGTGACTCCCAAGGCTAGCTATTTTTGACTCTCATCTTATGTTTGTATTCCTATTGAATTATATTATTTTTATGTTTATGTTTAAAATAGTTGTGTTAAATATTATTATATCTACACACAAATCACCAATTTTCCCAACATGATAATTGTTCCCGATTGTGTTTTGTTCACTTTCACTCTAGACATCATCGTCGGTGCTCGAACAGTTACGTCACGGAGCATCTCCCACGTTCATAACAGTCGTCACTCTTCGACCATGCATCCAATGAAAATGTGCTGGAATTTGCTCACGTGGACACGAGCGGACCTCGACTTCATTTTTTGGGGTCAACAGTTCATGTAAATTGTATTTGAAACATATATATATATTTGTGCATGTATCTGATTTACATTTTATTTGTAATAACCATCATTTTATATTCCTATATAATTTGACAAGTTTGTCTTTAAAAATTTGTTTTCATTTAAAATTGTGAGGAATACATAAAAATTGGATGGATTTGGGCATGTCTCAACAGAGGCTATCTCTTCGTCTGCTCATTGACTGAGTTGTGAAAAATGTAATGTCGATATAAATATAACTTCATTTACTTTCGGATGTTTAACATTTTTGTAGATAATTCTTCTACCATTGTTATGAATCATGGGTAGCTGAAAATAAGTTGTTTTGACCTCGGAAATTGGACCCTCTACGTAGCCAACCGATAGACACTCCACGTATTCCTCCCTGCGCACAATCAGCGCACGATCAGATGCACATGGTCGGGACCAGCGGGGGTGGCGGCGACCGTATACACTCCGACGGTCAAGTTAGGCTCAGGTGATCGGAATAGTACCAAGGTTGTACAAAATAATGGGGAGGAGAATATATATTTGCTTGCTATAGAGTGCTAAATAGGAAGAGTTTCATTACCTTTGCCTCTTGCCAAACCTTGGGTACTTATAGATGAGGAGAGCCGTCGGATGTGAGACACGTGTATACATTCATATGTATCAATTAGCCGCGTCTGTAGAGTGGGCGAGAAGTTACTTCTCCTGAGTTGAGTTGACATAAAGTTGATAGGTCACATTAACTAGCCTCATGGAGACGTCAAATCACTTTAAACCTTTAGGGCAGAAAAGATCTTGACAAAGATCTCATTCTGAAATTGACGGCGGATCTTCAGGTCGAGGTCTACGGGGATCTCTTCTCCTCGGATTCAGGGGGATGGGTCGCTTCGGCCAGTTTTGCAGAATTACCTATGTCTCGTAGTGTGATAGCAGATCACCTTAATTGGAACCACTTAGGGGGACCACTTCGTATGAGCGTTCCACACATCGGCTGACATGATGGCAGACTTTTCGAAGCGAAACCACTTCGTATGAGAGTTAGATACCTCGCCTGACGTGGGTTCAGTTCGGGCTGACGTGAATGTGAACTTTCTGAAGTGGAACCACTTCGTATGAGAGTTAGATACC